CATTATAAACAATAAAATACACTATAACATCCTACTTCCAAATTCAAGAGACTCTTCAAATGTTTAAAAAATACAAATGCAGTTTTTACTGGATATAAAATCCAGCTATTCCAAATATTTTTAAGTAAAAATACTGCATTGTTGGAATAGTTATATATTTTAAAAATCAATCATAGGAACTTGCCACTCTCCTGTTATACAAAACTGTTCACTCAACTCAAGAGAAACTTAAGGAGCCAAAAGAAAGTTGGGCTGAGGTAAGAGTAAAGTTTTTGTTAAAAAAAAAAAAAAGACAAGTGATTATTCAGTAACAACGGGTGGTCAAGACTTTCATTTCACATCACATTTGACACTAGAACAACAACAATCTAACCCACAGAAGTAGCAAGCAACCAGACAGAAAATGAGAACCAAAATGGCCACCACAGAGTCCCCTGGCTGCCTGCAATGCTTCCACCTGGTTCTCTTCAGACTTAAACTATTCCCTCACTGACTGACTGAAGAGAGGACATGCTCTGGATAGTCCTATGTAAATAAACCCATCTATAACAAAACCATTATTTAAAATGGCCATAAATTACAGCAATTCTTGCTGGTTTTGGAAAGATGAAGTATCAGCTTCCAAATGAGGTTTAAAAAAAGGGGAGTGGGTCAAGAAGGGCAGATCTGAAGCTTTAGGTCACCTTTCCACTCATGTCTGAATCAGCCTTGCCAACCTTGCTCTTCACTTTTTATTACACACGAATCATATGTTCCTATTAATCGCTTGGTACAATTATGAGTGCTTCCGAGAAAGATCAATAGAATCAGTCTTTCTCATACTTACAACTACTGGTGACTGGACCTTTAATTGATTAGAAATCTGATAGTATTGTGTGTGTGTGAGTGTGTATAAAATCTGCCTCAGTTTATCTATAGTGCACTCTAAACAGTGAGTAAAATCTTTCAAGAATAGATGAATTTACAGTATTACTACCACTGGACAACTTTTGGGGGGTTCCTCTTAGTTAGGCACTTAATTTCTTTAAAATATTAAGGGTGGGCCTCCCCGGTGGTGCAGCAGGTTGAGTGCAGCACTATGAAGCTGTCTGTAGCCTCTGCAGTGTGGGTTTGATTGCCGGCTGGCCAGGGAAATACCCACATGGCAAGGCAGACCTCTCCTGTCTTGCCCACTGCTCCCCTCAGCAGTGCTTTCATTCTGTCTGCCTGTTCTGCTCCCCACTCTGTCTCTGGTGAATCCTCTCACCCTCCCATGCCTCTGGCCTGTATCCTAGTTCTTGTATAAAAATAAATAAAATATTTGAAAAAAATTTTAAAAAATAAAATATTAAGGGAATAAACACAACTTCGGAAAGAATTACATCCCTATCTGACCCAATTCCTAACCTTAACTCTTGCAAACTCTGAATATGAAGGGCCCTAAATTCTCAAAATTTTTACATAGCAACAGTCACAAAGTGTAGAGGACATTTATCTCAGGAACTTTCCAAGTTAAGTTTTACACTGAAAAGTTCTCTCTGAAATTTAAAGTCAGCATTACAGGGATTAACCATCAGTTTTACTTTTTCTAAACTTTGCGGGCAATACAAACCTAGATTTCCCAATATCTCTTAAGAGTGGTGTATGAATATCACACATAAAGAGGAAATGAAATCTGGAAACATTTTTTTCTTATGCTGAACTCTATGATACAAAGACCATGACCCATTCTCCCTGTTTTCAAAGTTACCATACAGGAAAAAAAATATATTTTCCTACAACAATAGAAGAATCTGCGATGTGACTATTACAATGGCCTTGTATCTAGGGGGGTTGGGGAAGGTATTTGTGTTGAATAACAATTGTACAAATATATTCAATCATGTTGATGAATGGGTAAAATGTTTAATCAGCTTAACAGCCGAATATATCATGGCTATTATAACGTACCTTTTTTTCTTTACTGGGGTATCATAGGCTTATTACACTAAATATGATTTAGGGGAATGGATTCACTCCTCCTCACATGTGGGTCACCACATCACCTCTCCCATCCAAGTACCCATACTCCTGTACTTTCAAGGAGAAAAACAGTAGAAAGAAAAGCAGACATAAAATTGTGCAAATTATAATATACGCAATGAGAAAGATTTAAACAAGTCTCACAGATAAAAGAGTAATGCAGTAACTATTTTCTGCCTTGGGAAGTCAGTGAGAGCATCTAAGAATAAACAGTTTTAGAATTCAGTCTTGTAGGGGAAACACAATTCACTGAAAAGGTAAAACACCAAAAGGGAGATCTTTTTTCAGGTAGGGGGAAAAAAAAAGCTGTGACATTCAAAGTTCACCTAGTATATATTTATGAACATGTATGAAAGACTTGGCAGGATGGAAACACCGGGTCCACATCAGGATGTGGTAGAAGATGAAAACTGGACTTTGGTACTAGGCTATATTCTAAGATGAAGAACTGTAGATAAAATCCTATAAGCAACAAAGATACACAATAACTTCCAAAGTGGGATAAATAGTCTAACTGATTTTTCAGGAAAACAAGTCCAGCAGAAGTTGAAAGAAAGACTGAAAAGGAGGACAGGCTGAAAACGAGATCATACAGGAGGATCTTCCAACTGTCTGCTAAAGAGATGAAAGGCTGTTGGAACCAAGAAACATTTGAGGCAGAAACAAATTTAGAAACCTGTCAGAATGAGAGTAAGAGAAAATATCAGTGCTGATGTCACTAAAACGAAGTCACATCATTTGTATTCATACTGTATGAACTCCTAGAACAGCAGGCCTTTTTGGGTTACAGATCTACTTGCAATCTGATGAAAATGCAATCCTGCTCACATGTCTGCATACACAGAATTCTCCAATTATGTCCAGACGATCCACAGGCCCTGGTTACAAACTGCTGCTCTAAATGAAGCTGCTTGAGGCCAGGAATTGCATCTTATTCTAACTACTTCCACACAGTCCAACAAAAAACTTGGTACACAGTAGCAGTTCATAGTAGTCTTTCCTTTAAGTAAATTCTCTATTACAAATAGAATGGCTTTATTTCACAAAGGACCTTCATGCATCAAGCATCCCCTCAAGCCAACTACAGTATGTAATGTAACATACTTCTCTCATACACTTCCTTGTGTATACTTAAAGTAATTTCCCCTTTATCTTTGTGGTATTCCTCTGGCTATATCTATTTATATTCACCCCTTCAAATATGCATGGTTGTGTTCCTAGCACTGTTAGGAAGACCAAACCAAAGAGCACTATCAGCAGGGAGGGTACTCCCTGAGAGAAGGCAGTGGTCCTAATACTGAGAGGGAAAAGGCCTGCACAGAGGCGCAAAGTCATGCATTTGCCTTCCTGACCCCATGAGCTGTACACTACCAGTTTACTCCTTTCTTTTCCTATTTTAATATTTTTGAAGGGGACCAAAAGTTGTACCACTACTTATACTTACAGCAGGGAAGAACGGAGGTATGGTGGATAGTGTAATTTAACTTCTCAAATAAGTGATAATGAGAAACATAACACATGCCTGTGTTCTGTGAAGAGCTTCTAAGCATGTTAGTAAGCCTGCACTGCAAAGCCAACTGTACCAGAAAGCCTGGTTCTCCCACTTATGAGCTGTGATCAGAAATGGTAATTAACTTCGCTGTGCCTCAGTTTCCTTATCTGTAAAATGGGATAATACTGCCTCACTGAAAATTTATGAAGATTAAACGAGTTACTATAGATAACATGCTTAAAACACTATAGCTAGATAAATGCAAGCTAAAACATTATTGTTGGTGGGGAAATCTTGGCATAAAAATAACCAGAGAAATTGTAAACTTTAGGAATAAAATGTTAAATGGTTAATGTGAATATAAAAGAGTAGGTTCTACTGCATAGCTACTAGAAAATATCTGATCTTCCTATTGACTTAATTCCGCATGCAGTAATGTGGTAACTTGAACAAGTGGGTTTATTTCAGTACTGAGCACATTTGGCATATGTAATAATTTACTAAAGAAAGGGAAAAAAAAGGATTTAACAGATTCAGAGCTGTCTTTTAAGGTATGAGACTGTGTGATGAAACATTTCTGTTGGTATAAACTGTTTCAAATTAACAGCACTGGTAACTTTGCAGGAGGAGAGGAGAGGAAGAGGCAGCATGAAACTGTGATATCTACACACCTCAGTCATGTTGTCAAGGCAAGGGCAGCATTACTGACAGGTAAGTGTCCCTCTACCTTGCCAACATGCTGACAAATGTATTTAAATTCCTAAGAAGGGGCTAAAAGTCTTATGTGTATGTGTTTCTGCTCTTTAAACTTCAGCCAAAGAGGCTAGGCTGCCTTTTTTTCTTTCATCCATGAAAGCACAGTTCCCTAAACTTCTGTGGTAATCTATATGCCAGGATTAGGAGCCAGTTAAATTATCCTGAGTTTCAAATTCTAGATAGGATGCAGCCGGGAATTAATGAATTGTCAAAACAGAGTGAACGGGGCTGAGTTATACATGAATGATATCATATTATAAAAATATACTGTTTTATGCAATGTGTCTGTAATTTTCCCAGCACTGTAAAGAACGCTGGAGACCAACCTGGTAAATTAAAAAAATTAAAAACATCAACTCTATTATTGTAGAAAGGTTCAGACTATATTGTAACTATTTGGAAAAACTTTTTATCACAAATATAATTATAAGGACATTCACTTTTCATGCTGGTTATTTTTCAATGTATTACTTTAATATTATTCTTATATTTTATGTTTTTTCCTGCTAATTGAATTGTGTTTCGAGAGCAGAATTTTTGAAAAATAAAAAGGAAATCCCTAAAAGGGGGCTATCTTATACTCCCTACTGCCATCAATTTACTTATAAAGAATTCTAAGATGTTAGGAATGAATCTTGGGTATGGTTATAAAGCAGATGATAATTATAAAACAAAGGACTAAAGTCCAACTCATTGAGTAGCAGACTGGTCCAAAAGTGAGTGTAGGCACAACAGACCATGAGAAACCTACCATTGTACTGTGCTGAGAAGTGGGAGTCCTATGGCCACAAGCCTCTTGCGTCAGCAGAGAAACTGGCTGAAATTCCTCTGAGTGAGGCTTGTTGGGAAAACTCACATGCAAGGGAAGGTGAAAGGCTGGGAGGCCGTCACTCTCCTCTTCCTCCACTTTCTGTCTGCTTGTCACCATGGCTACCTCTCCATCTGCTTCCCCATACGGAGAGGCTGGTCGCTTGGAAGACATCCTGGAAGGAACAAAAGAGGAGAAAATAATGAAACCTCCACATAAATCCTTAATGCCGTCATTGTGTGGTTAGGGGCCATTGTAACAGAAATGCCTTTTTGTGCTGGCAGAGAGCAGGAAACCATCCAAATACCACTGCAAAGCACACACAATCAGAAACAATGGCCAAGCAGGTAGCAACAGAACAGTGCTTGTTTGTTGTGAGAATAATACACTAATATAGCACTCTCTTGTATTCTGGCTTCTTAAACAAGAGAATTCACCTAAGAATACTGCATAATGAAAGACCGTTCCATTTTAAAAGAAAGAAAAATACCCATCTAGTTTTACACTTTGATAGACTTTATTGAAGACAGAACAGCTATGAATAGCAAATACTGTTGGCAGTGAAAATAAGGGAAATATCTAAAATTTCTTTAATCAAAAAATAAACAAAATAAATGCATGATTGCCATTATAACAAATCTGTATTTATTAAAAGTAAGATTATTGTGAAATGTAGAAATATTGGTTATAAGCAAACCTCAGAGCAACCAACAAAAAGTTTGATATTTGTTGAAAACATATTAACAATTGAATACATTTTATGAGAACTTGTAATCTGAAAAATTGGGGGCTTTTTTTTCATCTCCTCCTCAAATGACCCCATTTTGGCATTAAAGCTCTAATACCAAATTTGTAAAGTAGTAAAATAGTTGAGGTTAACATATATTTCATTTCCACAATTATATAAAGATTAAGATGCAGATTCTCAGGCCTATTCTCTTATTAGAATACCTAAGCAAAATGAAAAAAAAATCATGTAAGACTATTTTGTTTTGATGACCTAATGCTAAATAGACTTGGATAACTAAACAAGAATTAAACATTTTTTGGTACTCGAATATGATTGAGAATATTATCAGAAGTTAAAAATGTAGCAAATATTTTTAAACAGAAAGTTCACTTCCTTTTAAACATTTTAAATGGAAGAGGTAGTTAAATTATTTAATTAAAAATAACCCTCTTGTATTCACAACTTGATCCGACCTTGACACAGTTATGATTTTTGCCCAACAGAGTGTTTACAGAATCATCCACTCTTATTCTAGATGAGTGAGATGGAAGGCAGGAGGCATTAAGTAGCTGCCATCCTGCTTCCTTCAGCAATAGCACTGATTTTTAAATTTCTTTTTTTTCTTTTATTTTTATATTCCCCATACAATTGAAACCCCCTTAATTTGACCCCAATCCCTCCTTGACCCCTCCCATAATGTGTCTCTGGTTCATAGTTGTTTGGTGATTTTGATTTTTTCTTTCTTATAGTTATTCTTTTTCCTGGTCCCTTATTTAGGTTTTCTAGATTCCTGCTATTAGTGAGAACATCCAGTATTTTTCTTTTTCTTTCTGGCTTATTTCGCTGAGCATGATGGGCCTCCCCTGGTGGTGCAGCATTTGAGCGCTGGGCTGTGAAGCTGCCCCCAACGTCTGCAGTGCAGGTTCGATCCCCAGCCACAGGTGAGGGTCCCACATGGCACGCAGACCTCTCCTGCCACACCCACTGCTCCCCTCAGCAGTGTATTTCATCACTCTGTCTGTGCTGCTCCCCGGCTCTGGTGAATTCTCTCGACCTCCCGCGCTTCTGACTGTACCCAGTGCTTATATAAATAAACAAACAAATAAATAAATAAATAAATATTTTGAAAATAAATAAATACTTGGGGAAAAAAAAAAGTGTTGCGGGCCCATGGTGTAATGGTTAGCACTCTGGACTCTGATTTTTAAATTTCAAATGTATTGCACCAAAAGAGAGGCGTCTAGTCATTGCTGAATACTACTATTCCTGCTGTTCTAAAAAAAAAAAGTGTGTTTGAGTACTGAAGACATTTTATTTAGAAATAATACTACAGGAGAAAAATTTTAAGGGCTCTGGGCTCAATAAAACATGGATTAAAATACAAATTCTGCTAAATCCTAGCTGTGAAATTACCTTAATCTTTCTATCTCAATTTACTCATCTTTAAAGTGAGATGCAGTAAATACCTTATTTAACTTTTTGAGGATGGACTTTATACTGTGTGCAAAATGACTAGTGGAACATTTAGCACAGAGTAAACACTCAATAAACAATAGCTGTTGTTTATTTTATAAACTTTAAAACTACAGTGTAACCAATCCCCACCCTTTAAAAAACAAACAACAACAAAAAAAAAACCACTAAAGTGAGGAAAGCAGATTGCCTTCTTAAAAGTTAAACTGTAAAATCAACATGAAATACAAAATCTCCCAGTGGAGAAATACTCGCTAGCCAGTCACACTTGACAATAAATTGATCAAATGCTTAGCAAGTCAGTGTTAATCACAGGGATGTCAACTGGTTGAAGAACAGAGTAAGAGGAAGAAATGTTGGTGGCTACCACATAAATGCTGTCTAAAGAAGACACGGACTGTCATCACATTTCAGGTGGTTTTAACTATTTATGATCTCATTACCAAGATCCAAATATATTCTTATGATAGAAAAAGTAAATCTGGGACTGCAGTCAAAAATGGAAGAGTGGTCTTAGTCTCATTGTCTGCAATTAGTTATATCCAACTGTAACACTTAACACTAGATATTTAACTTCCTATAGTTCTGCTTCCACACTTTTCCAGCAAACTTCTGTTTCCCGTATAGAGAATGGATTCAAAATATTCAATGTCTTGTGAAGCAATTTATTACACTAAATCAATAAAGAGACATTTAATTATTTCTAGATTCAACATGTAAGTTGACTACTAGCCGGTGATACAATTATTATACAAACCATCATATTTACTGTTTGTTCGGCCACTGTCATTTTTGCTGGAATTAATAAATTGGTATCCTGGTGTCTAACTCAGTCTCATGTCCAATAAGTCTCTCACTACCTGAAAATTCCACACTACTGATTTCTACATTAATACTGTTAATAATGATTATGAATGTTAAAGTCTAAAATTAGACATAGGTAGGTAGATCATAAGATAGCACTACTTCTTTTTTTCATAAAACCCTAGTTTTTTCAATGTCTAAATTACCTTTGTATAAAACTGGATACCAGATAAATTCTTCCCCACTCCACCCCCAGATCCCACTGCACCCCTCTAAGTATAAGGTCAAAAACAGTGAAAATAAAGGAGCAATGATACCAGAGGCAAAAAATCCTAAAACATTACATATTTCATGGTTATTTCAATTCCATTTTTGGAGACTTGGAGACTCTTCTAAATGTGTTGAACTAGGGAGTATTTTTTACACAAATCAGGTAAAGGAATTCTTAAAGATTTTTTAAATTAGTACAATAAAAATAGCATGGCTATAGTTAAATAATCAGGAAGTGAATATAAGAAAGTAAAATATATTAAAAACTATATAGAAAGACTTCAATTTGCTGATGACATTATTTATGTTTATTCTGACTCATAGTTTCCAATAATATTAATGATAAAAATCACCAATAACATTAGATTCTTGAATTTTTGTTCCTTAGCTAAAAGGCTTTATGTAGGATGGAGGAAAGTTTCATTACTTTCAAATTAACATTAAGAAAGCATCACAAATTGTAGGGTTCTAATTCCTGCAGGTTATAGTACACAGCTGTGTTGAAGTGCAAGGTGCCTTGGAACGAGTTGAGAATCAAGGCGAGGGTACACTTCTATGTATTCATTCAGAGATAATTTCTGTCTTCCCTGTGGTGGCATGCTAGACTTAGCAATGAGCAAAATTTAAAATTCTAAGAAATGACTCGAGACACAAATATAGTACTAAACTACCCTGCGGGGACCTCCCTGGTGGCTTAACGGGTTAAGCACAGCACTGTGAAGCTATCCACAGCCTCTGCAGCACAAGTTCGATCCCAGGTTGGGATCGACTTCTCCTGTCTTGCCTGCTGCTCCCCTCAGCAATGTATTTCAGTCAGTCTGCCTGTTCTGCTCCCCACTCTGTCTCTGGTAAATCTTCTCACCCCCCCGCACCTGTGGTCTGTACCCCAGTTCTTACATGCATAAATAAATAAATATTTAAAAATATATAAACTATTCTGTGGACCTATGATCACGTGACAATGGTCTTAAATGTCTATTCCCAGAGAAAAATGGAATCTTCAAATTATCAACAACCATTTACTGGCCACCAACTTTGTGAAAGACTGTTATCTAATGAGAATAAAATTGTAATTCGGAGTCTCTGTTTTAAGAAGCTTATAAATTGGTTGAGAAGATTTCAAATAAAAGGGGATTCAATAATAAAAGTTCAGGATAAGGGCCAAATGACTAGATAGCCAAGCACATGAGGGCTTCCTGAGAGAAAGGAGATCCTGGAGTCCTTCAGGAAATGGTCAGTCAACCAGGTGTATTTTGAGGAAAAAGGTCAAAGGGAAACCTTGGGATAAATAGGGAGGAATTTCATGTAGGAAGTAATGATAAAAGCAAAGATGCAGAGAAACTTTAAGAAGGTACAATCTAAAGTTCAAGCTTATTTAGGAACAGGGAATAGTGAGGAATATGGACCAAATCCCATATCTAATTGATAACACTCCTGGAGTTGCTGAGTTATAAAAGTGGAATAGATGAGAAACAGTCTCCCTTCATAAGGGGCAAGCTGCTTTTACAAGTAGTAAGTCTTCCTTTACTTGTCCCTGTAGCAACCCATACAGTGAGTCCACATATGGAAGTAATTAAAAAACTATTGGAATCCTTTGCTATTGGCCAAAGGCTCTTTACCATCACTCTGGAAGTAGGATGCACCCAGTTGTATTCAGATAAGCACAGCAAATTTAGGGAGAGGGAATGATGTAAGATTACCATAGAAAACCAAGTCAGTGGTTCTTAACCTTGACTACACATTGGAATCACATACAGAATTTTTAAAATTACTTCTACTTGTGTTCCATTGCCAGACATTCTAAAGATACTGATTCTGCAGAGCAGATGGATTATCGGAATCTTCTTGAAACTCCAAGATGATTGCAATGCAGTCAAGGTTGCAAACCATTTGTATTA